CTGTCTATGGATTTTCTTAGCTATGGCAGACATTTTTGCTGTGAGCGCGACTGTTTGCTTTCCCTCCTCCCCTTGTGGGGGTGGAGTTACGGTGTGAGTATGGCAGCTGCAGTTTTTGCAGGCGCTTTTGTGAAGCAGCTGACTTAAAGTTACGTTAGACCGAGAGGCCTGGCAAACTAGTTGGAATAACTTAAGTCATAAGTACCATGCTACAGGTTTTTCATGGGAGGCAGGGTCCCAGTAAGCCCAAGGAGGGGAAGGCAGACAGAGACAAAGGACACGTGGTGAGACCATGGAGGAGGCAGAAAAGGTGTGCTGACATCTTAGGTAAGGGAGGGGAAGGCAGAGCCTGGAGGCATGACACAAGCTTAAGGGATTAGCCATCACCTGTGTCTGTAGGTTGCTCCCATTGATTGGTACTGACAGGCTTTCAGGAAACGAAACCTCCACTCTCCGGTCACAAAACCTCCACTCTCCGGTCACCGAATAAAGCATGAGCTCTCTCAGAGCTGGAATCGCCTCGAGGTCAGAATTGGCAAGGAGTGGCTTGCTTAACTCCAAGACAGGGAAAGTTTTTCAGGAAGATAGGAGGAGATAGGTATGGTCTGTCAAGTGGGGAAGGAGGAGGTTTGTAGAGGAATTGGCTGATTTAGAAACTGGTTTACAGGCTGATAGAATCTGCACAGGGGATCAGAAAGTACAGAGGGAGGATTTGAAGTCAGAGAGCCGGATTTAGACGGAGGTTTGAAAAGACTTGGACATAATGGAAACTCTCCCCATCGTCCCAGTTGCTCACAGTAGTTATATGTCCCATAAAAGGTTGGGATTTAAAGACCCAAAAAGGGGCCAGTGATTTTGGTTGCCTAAAGGATAAGTGGGCCAGATTTGAGTGCAAAAGCAGATTAAATTTTTGGTTTTCTATCTGGGGTCAAACCCAAGGTGTCTAAATTATTGAGGAGTCATCTCAGTGGGGAGTCAGACGGCAGAGAAGACGTAGAGGCACCCATTATGAGGGACCCGGTCCCGGAATGGGAGAGGAGGATATTATGTACTGTGAAGCATCCTTGCACAGCACAAATATCCGAGAAAACACAAAGCGCATGTGACCCAGCCGTTGCTGAGTTCAGGTGGTTTGCAGGCCAGAAAGGCCCATGGAGGCTATGGGTCACCTGGCGCCAGGCTTTTCTTGGAGGGTGGCCTGTGAGGGCCGAGGATGACAAGAATAGACCCAAGCCTGTGGCAGATAGGGAGATCTTTCCCCACGTCTGGGTCCCAGGGATGATCTGAAAGGGGAAATGTTGAAACCCCAGAGACACCGAAGGGAGAGACCGCAATGGGAGCCCAATAGGGGTGTGTGGACTCACCAAAGAATGTCCGGTGTTGGATGCAAGCAGGGCGATCGGGAGGATGAGTCCTGGCCAGTCACGTCCTCAGGGTGGTTGTGGGGCGAGTCGGAATCGGGGTCCCACCAAGATTAGTGGGGAGCCCCACCCCTAGTCACGGCACCAAATGTAAGGAAATACAGGCCCCAAAATGACCACGTGGAGAGGAGTGATCTGGCCAAGAGATTCTTTATTGCCGGGTGTGAGAGGGAGAGAGCAGAGAGCCAAGAGAGGGAGGGAGAGAGGGGCAGGGGCTTAAATACCCCTCAGTGGGACTCAGCATGATCTGATTGGTTAGGATCTTATGGTTCATGCTGATTGGAGATTGGGGCAGAAAGAGGATTCAAGCTGGACTTGAGGCAGGACCGTGACCCTGGAAAACAGAAGCTTAAGGGTGCAGTAAGAACTGAAACCAATCGGTGCCATTATTGCCAACATTCCTCCCTTTTTTGTTTGTTAAGGAAGGGGGGCGTTGTGTTCGCTCTGGCTTCTTCAAGCTGGCAAGGGGCAGCGTAGGGGAAGGGAGGGTCAGTTGGCAAACAATGTTGGGATCCGAGTCACGGCACCAAATGTAAGGAAATATAGACCCCAAAATGACCATGTGGAGAGGAGTGATCTGGCCAAGAGATTCTTTATTGCCGGAGAAATTGTGGGAGAGGGAGAGAGCAGAGAGAGCCAAGAGAGCGAGAGAGAGAAGGGCAGGTGCTTAAATACCCCTCAGTGAGACTCAGCATGATCTGATTGGTTAGGATCTTATGGTTCATGCTGATTGGAGGTTGGGGCAGAGGGAGGATTCAAGCTAGACTTGAGGCAGGCCTGTGACCCTGGGAGGCAGGGCCGTGACCCAGGAAAACAGAAGCTTAAGGGTGCAGTGAGAGCTGAAACCTATCGGTGCCATTATTGCCAATACCAAGTCTTTGCAATCTGGTATGAACTTGCTGCTTTCAGCACATCTCAGTTTGGACTAGGTGTGTTTCAGGTTCTCACTGGTGACATGGACCTGGTGGCTACCCAATTAAACCACATAGATCTACAGTCTTAGAATTCTTTTACTGCTTTAATTGTAGATTGCTATGCCTGTTTTTGTAATTCTCTCATAGTTTTGTTATTTTCTAGATGGAGTATGTTTTCTCTTTGTCATTCCTGTCACCTTAAACTCTACTTCATAGGCTAGCTCTCCTTTTATTTAGTATGTTTATGACATACCTTCATCCCCTTATTTTTTTATATTTGTTTTTTCCTTCATGGATCATTGAGTTTTGTTTTGTTTTGTTTCTGAGACAGGGTCTCACCGTGTAGCCCACACTGGCCTGGAATTTACAATCCTCCTGTCTCCTCCACCTCCCGAGTGCTGAATACACCTGTGTGCTTTGCTGTGCCATCCAGTTTTGTCTTGTACATAGCATATTGTTGGATTTTTTGCTGTACAGTGTGATACACTCCTTTAAAATCCAACAAACTTGATCCATTTACACTTACGTAGTCACATATGTAATTGGATTAATGTTTGCATTTTGTTCTGTTTTTGCTTCTGTGTAATTCTTCTTTTCCCATAGTGGGGTTTGAATCAGAGCCTTATGCTTGTTAGACAGGTGCGCTACCATTTGAGCCACTCCACCAATCCTTTTTTCTGTTGGTTTTTGTTTTCGAAATAGGGTCTCTTGAACTATTTGCCCAGGCTAGCTTTAAACCGAGATCCTCCTGATCTGTACCTCCCACAGGTGTGAGCCACCAGTGCCTGACTTCTTCTGTGTAAATTTGGATTACTTAAATTTACTTTCTTTTATGATGTGAGAGCATATATCATATTGCTATGCTTAATGGTTACAGTTAAACTTTAAAACCATGTTTATTGAGACACAACTGACATCATAAACTATACGTATTTAAATTGTACAGTTTGGTAAGTTTTGACATATATATGCATACATACACGCACACACACCCCTTTAAAACCATCACCACCTAATCAAGACAATGAGAGACCAGGTTCTGTGGCTCACCCCTATAATCCTCTGACTCAGGATGCAGAGGTCAGGAGGATCACAGTTTGAGGCCAGTCCCAGCAACAGTTAGCAAGACCCCCACCTCAGCCTATAAAAAGTTGGGCATGGTGGTGCATGCCTGCCATCAAGCTAAGTGGGAAGCCAAACTCGGAGGATCTCAGTCTGTAGCATGAACATGAGACCCTATTCCAAAAATAACTGAAGCCAAAAGGGGTTGGGGGTGTGGCAAGCACAGGGTCCCGAGTTCAAACCTCAGCATTGCCCCCACCAAGAAAAGACAATGAGATGTCCCTTACCTCACAGTTCTCTCACGCCCCTTAGTGAACTCTCTCTCGTCCCTTCCAGGTTCCCTTCACATCACGCTTCTCTTGTCCCCAGACCACAAGTCTGAGTTTCTTCACTGTAGATTAGTTTTTTGCAGGTTCTGTGAATGGAGTCGTAAACTTTTGCTCTTTCATGTCTGTGGTCTCAGCATGATTATTTTGTTACTTATTCCTTTTATTGATGAGTGATATTGGATGGTATGCCACAGGTTGTCACTTGTCTGCTGGTACACATTGGCTTGTTTCTGGTTTCTGGCTATCAAATAAAGCTGACATGGATATTTATGTCCATGTTGGTGTTTGCACATATGCTTTTATTTCTGATGGGTAAGTATATGTGAGAGTGGGGTGATTGGGTCAATAATATGTGTTTAAACTGATAAAAAATTGCCAAACTGTTTTCCAAGACAGTTGTACCATTTTACAGTCTCACCAGAGGAGTGTGAGAGCCATTTTTACTCCATTGCACATTAGCCTTTTATTTTGAGGTTATTCAGTTCAGACAGGTGTAGAGCAATACTGAGTTGTGGCTTGATGTTTTTCCTGTTGATGAGAGCTTGTTTGTCATGTCTACACTGTCTGTGATGGCAGTATCTGTTCAAATGTTTTGACTATTTTTTCCAATTGGGTAGCTTGTTTTTACTGAGTTTTACATGATCTTTATACATTCTAGTCTCGAATCCCTTGGCTGGTATGCAGTTTGGAAATATTTTGGAAATAAAAGCTTCTCTTTTATATTTTAAGTGTCTTTTGAGGACACAAATTCTTAACTTTGATGTCAAATGTTTCTTTTATGGGCAGTGTTTGACACTTGGTCTGGTCCTGTGGACTTCCCTTTCATCCTTGGAAGTCTAGACTTTATAGTTTAAAGTGTTTGTGTCCTTTATCTGGTTTTTCGGATTTTTGTAGTGGGGTATTCTTTATTAGCTGTGTCCATTATGCCAGAACTAAAGGTACAGCAACCGGCAAGCGTACAGACTGAGTTCTGACTTCCTCCTTTTTCACCCATTGAGTTTTTGGGGCCTGTGGTCTGCCTTTGTATTTTTGCTAACAAGTTTATGTTACTATAGTGTCTATAAGTAAATTAAAGATAATCAAGGCCAGTGAATAAAAACTTCAAAGAATAATGCATGAGTCAGTTTAGTTTAATGCTTTAATTAATAATGTTTGATTAAGCAGCATTGGTTTGCAGCAGCTGTCCAGAAATTTAAAAGATATTTTTTATTTTAATGGCCATTTCATTTTGTATTTGCATGTTTAATATCTGACTCCTTTTTTTTTTTTTTAAGATCACAAAATTTGTTCAGGACAGACACAGAGCTAGAAGAAACAGACTTCGTAGAGATCAACTTAAGAAACTCCCAGTACATAAGTTCAAGAAAGGTAAGTGGCCATTTTTGTTTTCAGTGATCACGTGTAGTTTGTTGCTTGACTGCGCACTGACAGACATTCCTCTGAGTCCACACTAAGCAGACAGCTAATGAATGAGGGTTTGTGGAGACTTTTTCACTCTGGTGCTTTGGTTCTCTGGTGCAGGCAGGAGAGGGGTGCGTTAAATGCAATGATGGACGTGACCAGAGTGCTTTTTATTGCCACCATGTCTGGCAGTTCTGAACCATGTCATTGTGTGAACTGCTTCCCCGAGCCAGGGCAGTCTGCTTCTACTAACCCTCCTTCTCTCCCGCACAAAGCACGCCAGCTGTTATGTGTCTGCACTTTACATGCATCATCTCATCTAATTTCCAGACTTCTCTGAGTGGATGCTATCATTATCCTCCATTGTGGACGAGGAAACAGAGGGTGGGAGTGGTGACATCGCCAGTGTGGACTGAGCTGGGGAGGGTGTGGGGCTTGTGCTGTGGCCAGGACACTCCTCTTCTCTGTGCTGTTGAGTCCTTCCGGCTAGTTCCTCCCAGACTTCTCAGTTCCTTATATCTGAAAAGTGTTCTTTCTTTTACTCAGCAGAAAAAGAGTGGAGGGGGAACTGGTGAAAACTAAAACATTCCTAGTAATAAAATGTTTTATTACCATTTATAATGATTATTTCATTAATAACAGAAAATTTAACAATAAGAAAATAGAAAGAAGAACATCAGGTGACAGTAAACCTGCAAAGATTCATAACACTGTCCCAAATTGTCATTGTATTGGGTGAATTACTCGGCATTTATCCATAGATCATAGATCAGTATGAAGACATGCTTTCAGAGTCACATTTTAAAGCTTCATTTTACGTGTTTAGCTTTGTGTTTTTAAACCCAGAAAAGTGGTTTTAAAAAAAGATGATTTTGAGATTGTCCTGGGTTAAGAAGGGTATGCAGGCATTGTAGGGTTTTGAACGGGAGAGTGAGCATCTAAGTGAAATTCTTTCCTGCTGCTGTGTTAACAGGCTGTAAGGGTCAAAGGCACAAAGAGACTAGACAGGAAGCTGTTACAGCAATCCAAGTGTGAGGCAGATGTGGTGTGGATCAGGTCGCAGCAATGAAGGTGTGACGAAGTCTTCAAATTCTGGATATGTTGAGATGGAGGACTCTGAACCTATTGAGGGGCTGATGTGGGGAGAGGAAGCAAGGATGGCAGCACAATTTTGATCTGAGCAGTAAGATTCCTTGAGTAGGAAATAGGGGTTGTTAGTGTGTGGTGGGTTGGGTTGTGGATTGGTTTTGGACATGTAGAGTGTCAGGTTCCTACTGGGTGATAATTGAGTCTGGAGTTTAAGAGCGGTGTGGACTGCTTTCTTGGCATAAAGATGTATGCAGTGGTGAGACTGCATGGGATCCTGAGAGCGTGCATGCAGGAGGAAGAGGCATTCCCAAGTCAAAAGGAGATATGGACCAAGGAAGGTCAGTTAGGACCAAAGGTAGAGAAGCGCACTTCACCAGGAGCAGAATGGAGCTGGTATTAGTGCACCTGAAAGATAGAGAAGAGAACTATAAAGTGACCAGAGACTAGACCAGCGTGACGAGCAGTTTGACAGGAGTCAGGCCAAAACTCTGATGGTGGTAGGTTTAGGAAAAAATCACAGACAGCAACTATAGGCTAAGACTCACCCACCTGAAATGTCTGAGACCAGCTACAGGCTGAGCACCCCTCACCTGATACAGCTGAGAGCACAAGTTTCCATGCTAGGAGCTTTTTGGATTTTGGAATATTACATGTTTTCCAGTTGAGCACCCCTAATCTGAAACACATTGTTCAAAAAACTTCAGATTGTGGAACAGCTCAGGTTTTAGATTTTTGGGTTAGGGATGCTCAACCTGTGCAGACAACTATTGCAAGAAGTTTTACTGCAGAGGGGAGCAGGGAAATGGGATAGTAGCTGGTGGGAGGTTGTTTGTCTGCTAAAAGAAATGGATGTGAGTGACATACAGGAGAGTTGCTGTAGTAAAGTCCTTCAGAAGATGATGAAACAGTGGAGGAGGAGATTGGGGTTTAACCAGAGGGTAAGATACTGTTCCAGGAGTGGAGGGGCTGGAGTGGGCTAGAGAAATACAGTCTGGCTGCTTGGTGGCTGGAGCCTTCCTGTAAGGTTGACCAGTGTGCAGAGCTGTGGGCATCTGTAGCTATGTTCAGCAGCAGAGCAGTGTTAACCGTTATCATCCCTTTTTATAAAATGTGAGGCACACAGAGGAGGATCTGTGCAGCCGTGCCTTCTAGAAACAGCACAGCACATCAAGACAGTCATGTCCTCTAGACAGTCCTTCCCTCCTCTCAGGTCACAGGTGCTCCCCTGCTTAGGGCAGTCACTTAATTTGTCACCTGTGTGATACCTGAAGCCATGACTGTAAGCCATGTTACCAAGCCTGTTGGTGACATTGGTTAAATTTTGCCTATTTTTGAATTTACATCTTTCATTAATGTTTTTGGATTAAATTAAATTATCTAATTGCATAGAGATGTAGTTCACTTTCACTCCATGGTATAAAAGATGAATTATCCTTTTTACTAATAGACATTGAGATTTTTCTCAGTTTAGAGCCATTATAGTCCATGCTGTTTTAGTAACATAATGGGTTTGTATTTAATTAGTACTTCTTACCATGGGGATATTACACAATTAATATAAAGCCTTTTTTTCCATTAAATTTCCTCTCCATTTCATTGTCAATACAATCCTTCTCAGTATTAAACTTTCCCCTCAGAGACAAGTCTCAGTTTGTTGGTTGGTATCTAAGTGCAGTATGAACTTGGGAGATAAACAAAATGTAGTAACATGGAGGAGGAGTCCTTGTGACAGTAACTGAGCAGTTGGGATTTGTGAGATTCTGGATCCAGCTCTTGTCTTCCCGTTAGTGCTGTTTGAGCACTCTGACACCATGAAATGTCATTTACGCAGATTTAAGCCATCTTAACAAAAATAGCTCCTTTTAGTGAAAATCATAAATAGTGTCATCAGAATTCATTCATTAAACTTTTATAAGGAAAGACTGACAGAATCATGAAGCATTTGGAAAGTATGTAACTTTGAAAAATCCCAATTGAGATTTCTTTTCAGCAGCAGTGTTTGAGCTGATTATATTTCGGCTTGTCCTGACCCTGGAGTGGTAAGTAAGAGGAAGGAGGTGCATGCATTTGGCATGCGTGTTCTAGGTAGTCTGCGGGTTTCATAGCTGTGCACGGGTACTGGGAAGACTCAAGAGTTCTTGCTGCAGTGTCCTCCTTGCTCTTCAACTGAAACATGAGGGCAGGTGTCAAGCAGCTGAGGTTCTCTCTCATCCTCCCATGGTGGAAATGTTGTATTATGATAACCCCCACTGATGCCCCCCAAAAAAGAAGAAAAGAAACTTCTGATGGTTAATTGACTACTTCCTTGTCAAGTATTTCTGTTTAGAAGTACTGGTCAGTGGACCAAAAAGAATTTGACATTTGGAAATGCCTCTAATCAAATCCACAGAAACTTAAGGACTGCCAACCAGAACAAGTAAGACAAGTAGAAGTTAGTCAGTGCTTTTGTGCCTGCTGCCTTCCGGCCCAATGGCCTCAAATCTTCCTGGTCACTGGTCTTCACTTTTGCAGGCTGCAAAAGTGTCTGGTCATTGCTTGAGTGCTTCTATAGCACCTAAAGTCCTAAGAGTCCTTCTGGGTGTCCAGGTCCCTACAGACTCCTCACTCGTCGTCCTTCCAGTTGCCTAAATGGGAATTGCCTGCCTTGTTCCTGGATGTGATGTGCGGTTTTGATCAGGTGTGGTAAAAAATGATCACATCAAAAGAAATTTCGTAACAAAAGTTATCTCACTCCCCTCTCCCCCCCCTTTTTGGTGGCACTAGAGTTTGAACTCAAGGCTCAACTTGCTGGCAGGTGCCCTGCCACTTGAGCCACTCTACCAACCCCCAGAAAACAGAAATTCTAAATTCCCACATCCCACATCCCACAGCTTGGTGGCGCAGAGAAGCTTGTGGTCCCCGTTGTTGTCACTAGTGCGTGTAATTCCTGTGTCATCTGCTTGGTGCTTCCTAAACATACCTTCCAAGAAATGAGGCAAAAGTGAACCTGCTTAACTGAAGCGAAGTGAGAAGTTATACTGCAGCACGTCTAGTGGGAGTTGGACAACCAGCGTGGGGGAGAAATGAATCACAGTGCGGCCCGTGCTCTGCTAGCCCGATACAAGGGCCTACCATGATTAGTGGTTTCACCTAACAATTCCTCCACCACACATCTCACCCATCACTATGAGGAGCTGTTGGACCCATCCCCTGAAATATAATGACACAAAGGTGGCCTTATATGTGATGTTTCACGTTTCTAGGTACTTTACCATGTACCTTAATGAACTACTGAGATTTTATAAGGTAAAACATACAGAAGGAGAAAGATTTTTACTTCAGAGATTGGAAAAAAGCAATAAAGCATTTTACAGTAGACTGTGTAAAAATGGAACAATACTGAATTTTTATAAGGTGGTTCAGCCTGTGATCCTAGTTACTCAGGAGGCAGAGATCAGGAGGATCATACTTTGAAGCCAGCCCAGGCAAATAGTTCTCGAGACCCTATATTGAAAAATCCCATCACAAAAAAGGGCAGTGGAGTGGCTCAAGGTGAATGCCAAGTTCAAGTCCCAGTAAGGGAGGTAAAAAAAAAAAATGTGGAGTAATAGTTTTCACTTCTTTAATCTAGTTATTAAGAAATGCTTAATATTTTATAACTACATTTAACTTTTAGTCTAACCTTAAAAGTAAATACTAGTTTGCCCCGAGCTTAAAAATAATCACGATTCTCAGGCAAATTGGCTTTAAAAATATTTTATCCTGTTGTCCTCCTTTGTTCAGATTTCTTGGGAATTAGTGCCGAGGAGAGAAGAAGAGAAAGTCAGATTTATTTATTTATTTTTTGCTCGAGAAGAAGCTGTGTGTCCTGTCAGTGTAGTGAGGAGGCAGGACAGCTTTTGGCACGGCAGTTATTTTTACTTGCAGCTCGTAAGTCCAGTGACACCATCAGCTACACAGGACTCAGGCATTGCATCTGGTGGAATCTACATGCTTGTCTCCTCCTTTCTTTGAAGAAATATATTCCTGCTTGACTGAACGCCTGGACTTGTTATAAAACTGAACGACTGAGCTCTGATCATCTTTCTTTACTCCTGGATTACTGGAGACTAGTGGTGACTCCTCTTTCTGTATCTGATTTCATGTCCAAGTGCTTTACTTACAGCCTGACTCACTTATTTATATGAGCTCACTGCAAGATTGGAAGTGGCCAGTGTGGCAGGAGCTCGGTGCAGTGTAGGTCTGAGATGAAGAGGGGAGGGGGCGTTCAGATCTCAGTGAGCCTAAGAAGGCCATAGGGAGGAACTCAGATTCTGTTCTTCAGTGGGATGGCGTGATGCAGGGTGTACAGATGACCAGGTTGCCAGAGAACAGCATATGGGGCAGGAATAGGAGATCAGGGAGGAGCTGTCCCCATGCTCCAGATGACTGGTCCAGAGTAACTGAGGAAGCAGAGAAGGGGACAGGTGTGGGCATATCTGCAGATAGAATCTTACAGGATGGGCTGTAAGGAAAGAAGGCCAGCCCAGCACTCAGGTTGTGTACTGCACTGGCTGCCTGGTGTTGGGGTGTGCCAGCACCTCTGCTGTGCCTGCTCAGCCAAGGTTTGGAGTGTGGAACTGTGGGAAATGGCAGGGAGAAACAGATTAGAGGGAAAATCAAAGTCAAGTCCTGTCCACCCACATGCAGTTACATCCCAGAATGATGAGAGACTCTACAACTACTGTCAGAAAGTTTTCTGGAACTTCACTCAACTATAGTGCTGAAAACATTCCAGTCAGGAACACTTCTGTATTATTTCTCACATCAGAGTCGGTCTCCTCCTCCCCCCAGCTCATATGCAGCCATGTCCACTAGTGAATTAGGAAGGCTTGTAGCTGTGAGGGTCACATCCATCAGGGCACCACAGCCTCGCACTTCGGACATTTGAGGTGGGACAGTGCTGCTAGGAGCTGCCCAGCATCTTGCAGGAGGTTCAGCTACAGTCCTGGTCCACTAGATGCCAAGCAGACTGACTCCCAGTTGTGAAAACCAAAGCTGTCTCCAGGTCAGTAAGTGTCTTTAGGGACAAAGTGACACCCAGCTGAGAACCACTGGCTTACACTGAGCAACAGGATTTTTGAGCATGGTGCTACTCGTAACAAAACCAGTGCTTGGTCTACACTCTTCAAGTCTTTGTCACATACCACCAGAACAAGGTAAGATGCTTAAATGCCTACATTCATCTTGACTTAAATTAAACGTAAGCACAGTGCACTTGATAGTCATTTGTGTTGGAATGTAGCCTTTGAGTATGAGTCCACTGACTGATTTCTACACTGCTTGGTACACAATCCATATCTGCCACTTTCAGTTTCAGGGTTTCACAGAGGGACAAAGCCTGGATTTTTGCCATCATTCTTGCTTTTTATTCATATAGAAGTTTGTCCAGTCTTTCATTTTTCTCACCTATACCTAATTTAACTATATTTTGGCTGGAGTGAGCATAAGGGTGAGGGAAAACTAGCTTTCAAGTGTTTGTAAAGTATTCAACCTAGCTTTCCAATAAAGCTAGAAGTCTTTACCTTCACAGTCCAGGGGCTGCTGGACATCTAAGTATAGCAAGCATGTTCAGTGACCACTGCACCTCATCCAGCTGCTAGGACAGGAAAGGGGGATGGGAGAGTAGCACAGCCAGCCTGTCAGGCTGGCGTTACCAGGTAGAAACTGATAAAGAAGTACCGTGTGTGCCAAAAGCCTTGTACTATACTTCTGCATCATCTCCTGAATTGTCACAACCCAAAGACACACGTTACCTTTTTGTTTTGCCTCTGACAAAATGAAACATAAAGGTGGTGTCTCACAGCTAGTAAATAAATAAATAGAAAAGCAAGACGTAAAGCACAGGCATTCAGATGTGTGCTTTACTGCCTCATCATGAGCCCACGGCCATGGAAAATCACTGTCTATGGAGCACGCAGAGCATTTGCTCCACTCTGGTCCATGATCACAAACTACACCTTGTAATTTTGACCTATGATCTTAAAATAAGTGCTGTGACAAAAAGAGCACCATGGACACATTCAAAGAGCTGATCTGAAAGCCCATGACACAAGCATCAGTCCCACTGTCACCTTTGTTAGCTTCCCACGTCTGTGAAGGTACCACAAACTCAGTGTCTTAAGCACAGGTATACTTTCTATAGTGGTCTGACACAGGCGGTCTCAGCACTAAAATCAAGGTGATGCCAGGCTGCGTGCCTTTCTGGAGGTCTGAGGGCAGCGTCCATTCCCTTCCTTCTCCAGCCTCTAGAGCCTCCCAGAGTTCTTGGCTTATGACCTTCCTCCCTGCACCTTCAAGGTGGGCACCCCAGACTGTCATCCAGAGTTGCATCTCCTGCTGATGTTGGGCCTTTCTGCCTCTCACTTCCACTTGTTAGGACCCTTGTGATCTGATCCCAGTGAACCCACATGGCAAAGGCAGGCCAAAGCTCTCTGCCCTTTTAGCTGTATCTGTTTGTTGTTGGTAGGCGTCTTCAAGGCAGTGAGGCAGAGGTTCAGTAGGTGAGAACATGCAATGATTTACTTGTTCAGGGTAAAGGCATGTCAGCTCTCTCCTCAAAGGCATGTCAGTGCCGGCTGCGTACGTACAAGCTGTCAGAGGCATACCGAGCCCTTTGGTATTCCAATAGTTAAGACTAGTCGTCAGCCTGGCCAGATTCCATGAGAGATTCTAACGTGTATAGTTAGTTCATTTGTTAACAGAATATTCTTGATAGGTCATGCCGTAGCCACCAAAGTTAAGACACTGGATAGAACTTACTAATTTTCTTTGAAGCTTTCTATTTTGGATTCCTGTGTTTTAAATGACTGGAGTACATTAAATGAATTATTTCAAAAGAACCATAATTCCATGTTCTGGTGTGTCATGGTCATCCAGACTGTCTTTGCAGACAGGGCTTTATTTCTGATACCTTCCCCAGGTTGTTAGCCCTCGGTGTGGGACAGGCATGGATCCAGCCCTCTGTTGTTCCGAGACTCTCACAGGTTTTTAACCTAACATATTCATTTGGTGGAAACACTGAACTGAAAGCAGTCACCTCCAGTGAAATGATGAAGTGCCTTTAAAAATGTGTAACTTGCATTTCAGAAAGAGCCGAGTTTAATAAATTTGTGTGATTATGAAGGCGATGAAGTCAAGTAAGAGTTAAGGTGGCTGTGACATTTTAAAGAAAACCGATGCCTAGGCATTCCTTATATCATCTTCACAACCCTGCACATAAATAAAAAGCCTCTTACATGTAAAGCCGGGATGTCCTAGTCACCTGCCAACACTGTGAACTAGTAAATACTGGGAATTTGAACCCAAGTGTTCTGAAATAGTTTTTATTTAAAAAATAACCCAGAGCTGGTAGTTCAAGGGCTTGCCTAGCATGCCTAGGTTCAATCTCCAACATCAAAACCCAAAAACCCACAGACTGAGAAGTAAGCAAGTTTTGTTCTTTGGCATAAGATATTTCAAAGGCACCACAGATAAACTATGATTAAAATTTTCAACAAAGATGATCAGGGTGAAAAACGTGATATCCATTTTTAACTTCCTGTATGAGTAAAAGGCTGATAAATTAAAACTTGGGGTCCTTGACCTTGAACACCTGTGTAGCTCCTTGAGCCTAACAAAAAACAGAGGCATTTAAAATAACTTAGGAAGGCTAGCTTGGGAAGTGAGAAAAGCTAAAAGGCTTCTCCACATAGTAAATAATTCCGTAGTCATTAACCTTCCCGATTTCCCATTATAGGAGACGAGTACGATGTGTGTGCCATTTGCTTGGATGAGTATGAAGATGGAGACAAACTCAGGGTCCTTCCCTGTTCCCACGGTGAGCAATTTACGCAGCTTTGAACTTACACGTGGAGCGATGGCCATTTAGGCGCAGTGTTGCAGGGGAGGCGGCACCAGGCTCTGAACTCGAGATCTCAGTACCCAGTAGTGGTGTGCTTACAAACCGTGTAATGTGTGCACCTGAATGCTGAGCCGGGCGCAGGCCTTCAGCCACAGCTGTAACCAGATGTCCACTTTGCTTCCACAGCGTACCACTGCAAGTGTGTAGACCCTTGGCTGACCAAAACCAAAAAGACCTGTCCAGTCTGCAAGCAGAAAGTTGTTCCCTCTCAGGAGACTCAGACTCTGACACAGACAGCAGCCAGGAAGAGAATGGGGTGTCAGAGCACACCCCATTACTCAGACCCTTGGCTTCTGTCAGCACCCAGTCGTTCGGGGCTCTGTCAGAATCTCACTCCCAGCAGAACGTGACAGAGTCTTCAGACTATGAGGAAGACGACAATGGAGTCACCGACAGTAGTGACGCAGAGAACGACATCAGCGAACACAGTGTGGTGGTCCAGCTGCAGCCGGGCGGCGATCGGGATTACAACGTAGCCAATACCGTGTGACCTTCAGGTGACGGGCTCATTCCCCAAAGTGTTTACTTAGGTTATAATTTGATTTCTTGGCTCCCTGGAGAGATTTCTGTAGAAGTAACTTATTTTTAGTGCTCTAGTTTCATAAGATTACCGAAACAGACTTTCTGACTGGTACTCACCTGCAGGAGCACACTTCAGCTCACTAACAAGTAACAAACGGGTGCTGGAACTCAGGCATCAAATTAGCTCTTTGGGGACGGAAGATAGTCACGTTTGTTTAAGCCCTATCGCCTGCAGTAAGACCTGGAGCACATGGAGTCAGTGCTGAGGCACTGAGCATGAGTTAAGCCACCTCCTGCTGCCATGTTCCTCCAGTTGAGTTGAATGTGTTGGTCACTGTTTTCCAGATTGCCATCCTCAGTGACAGGTGACGGGTAACTTAGCACTTCCCTCTGTCAGCACCACAGAGAAACTCAAAGCTTTCCCTCTCCTCTTCCCAGTAGTCTTATCCCGATAGGAAAGATCTGTACCTACTTAGATTTCTTTGCTTTTCTAAGGTTTTTAATACTGCAGTGTTACGGATGAATTTGACTCAAGTTAAAGTAATGTCTCTGGACTTTACTTACCAGATTTCTGTGTCCTTATGGGTTCTTTGTTGCAATCAAAGCAAAAACAAAACGCTGCATACAAATACCAAACTTCAGCAATTGTTGCTACTCAGATCATATACCTCTGATAAAGAGCAGCTTGTGCTAATCAGCCCTGCTAAACTGTGTGCCGAGGAAAGTTCAAGTACTGGATCTGGAAGTAAGTGCTATGTGTAACAGACTGATGTATTAAACAATGTATTCCGAAAAGCTAAATTACATTGCACACCACTCTAACTACGGAGAAAATACACTTATGTATAATCAAAATGCTAAGAATTTTTTATGGCCTTGTATGAGGGAGTTTGAATGTTAATAAATATGTTTTCCACTTTTAAGAACCTATAATGTTTGTTCCGCTGTCCTCTTACTTTCTACATTAGCCTTGCTATATGCAGAGCCATGAAGGGTAATGACTGAGGTCAGTAAACATATTATCACCTTAGAATTTTATACCAGGTCATTTAGGTTAATCCATGAACAACCACAGCCCCAAAACCACTCCACAAATAAGCAGCACACATCATGAAGCACTGTTGCGAATTATACGTCTTTAGTCCACACTGACAGGGAAACAGACTGAGATCACGTAGAGTAAGTGCAGCCAGCCTTCTGTCGTTAAAAAAAAAAATGTAACCTAGGAGAGGAGTTTCACTTTCTGACACTGCTCATCCCCTGTCCTCCTCTAAGGTAAAGCACAGACTGAGGAACCAGGCATGAAACAGTTCCCATGGTGGCTAAGCAGAGGCTGAGATGTGACATACTATACGCCCCCAACCTTTTATACCTCCTTAGTCATTTGCATTTCATGTAACCTACAGTAAGGTGTAAAGTTACAAAAACACTGAGTTCACTGCCTGACAAAACTTTTTTTTTAAAAAGTCATACCTGCTGGTGGACTGGCTCAAGTGGTAGAGCCCTTGCCTAGCAAGTATGAGGCCCCAAGTTCAAACCCCAGTACCACAAAAAAAAAAAAAAAAAAGGTTATGCCTATTTTTTAGATGAACAAAAAAGTTAAGACACTATAATGTATAGCTATGAATTAAGATGTTTACTCTTTTTAGCTCTCAGTCCACAGTTCAGATGTTAAGTTAGGCGTTTTTCTGGATCAAAAATTACTATCCAAATTATTAGTTGTAAAAGAATTTATGAAGGGCTGGAGGTGTGGCTCAAATGGTAGAGTGCCTCCCTCACAAGTGTTGTGTTCAAATCCTAGCACAGCAAAAAAAAAAAAAAATTATGAAGTGTCTTTCAGTAGCACTGGTTACTACTGGAACTCGCTAACACTCACTTGAAGACATAGATAATTTCACTGTGTATAATTATTAATCTTTTGAATAGTACACTAAGCAAAATTAAAATCCACTTTTTATTTTAAAAGCCTAATTTAAAATTTTTCTAAGAGCAACATATAAAATACTGGAAATCAAAATAGACTCTACCAGAAACTTAGCCCTGAGGTAAACTTACGTGGCTATGTTACCTTCAGAAGCAATAAGGAAACCTAGATGTACATAATAATACACCACCTGGACACCCATGTGTACCACATGACGTGCACCGGGGAGCGTTTTCTCGTGTCATTCAATGACTGTTTTGCCCAATTGATGTGAGACAACTTACTCAGCCCACACCTCCAATGCAGAACCCTGCCGAAGTGTTCCAAGCCTGGGTATGCTAAGTACAGCCGTGTGGTGGACACTGGTGTGGTGGACACTGTGGTGTGGTGTGTGCCGCACTTCCCTAGAGAGCACAGGGCAGACATGTCCTTTCTCTGTTCGAGTGGCACAGCCCCTCGCCCACCAACTCGTCTGCCCACTCCTCAGCATGCTTGCCCCTCACAACTTACAGGTTTGTTCACTGAAGCTGTGACACTGTGGTCACCGCAGGATTGCTACCTGAGCGTTCATCACACTAACGTGCAAAGGAGCATCACTGCAAAATTTATCACAGCTTAGTCACAAAAATCTGTTTGCCCAACCTTTTGTCCTTAATGGGTACTTTAACAGGACAAGAAGCTGATACCAGGTTTTTACTGTCCCAGTTTCTAGGATGTCCATATTCCAAAGCAGCCCCAAGCCCATCCAGAAGTAATGCCTGGAAAAAAGAAAAAAGCAGTTACGTATGGTCTATTTTAATTTGGAAAAGAGAAATTTCTATCCCTGGCGTCCCTTCTCAAGGGCGGTGTGCAGGCCACTTAAGATCAGAGCGACCTGGTGTCTGTTTCTGAAGGGGATTTCCTGGCTACGGCACTTCTGTCTCCAGGGTGGGAGGTCCACTTCCACTCTTTTTAAACATTGTTCATTAGTGTGTAGTAATTGTACAGGAGGAATTCGTTGTGACATTTACGTATGTGCTTACACGTGCCCCCCACTCCCCCTCATCTCCTTCATCCCCCCTCCATCATCCCCCTGCCACACACACTCACTTCTGAGCACCCATGGCTCTAAGTTGGTTTGATAGTTCTGGATTCCTATCTGCTAAATTTAACACGTGTGGGGAACTTAGGAGACCCCAGGCTTAGCATGGTCAGCCTTTTAACCCAAATGCACAGCACCTGATTCCCTTAAAGGCTGCCCAAGCAAGGCCTTCTGTCCTGGTGTGGACAGTCCAGCTGGCTGGCTTCACCAGCAGAGCCTGTCACTGCTGATCTCCCAGAAACCCTGCTGGGTCCCAGGGCTTCTTCCAGCCTACATTTCACATCTAGAGACCAACAGGTAAGTCAGCTTTCCTCACATAGGCCTGAAGGTGAGCAAAAATGACTAGAAGCTGCTTTTGATAGACCAAAGCCTATGAAAAAGAAATTTCTACGTACTTAATTTTATGCCTGCAACAGACCCTGGCCTACTGTCTATATTCTCATTAGGTCAAAACTCAGCTTCAGCTGGGCATGAGTGGGAGACTGAAGCAGGAGGATCGTGACCTTGAGGCTGTCCTGGGCTATGTACAGGCCAAGATCCTGTCTCAAAAACATCCAACTGCAACAGTAAGACAGCAACTTACACAAACGACAGGAGTCTGTAGAGCACTTGGTTGGAATAAATTTATTTCATCTGTCTGTAAACAAGGTGTTTAATAGTTATGGCATTTTTTTAAATGCATATTAAATCAGATGACTTAGACTGTATCCCAGATGTAACAAAGTGCAGGGAAAGAAATGGACAGATCAGCAACGAGATGTGTTTGTACATCTGTACATCACCCACAAGGCCCAACAACAGAAGCAGTTACTAGAACGTCCCTAAAGTAGTGCCATTCGGAAGAAACCCTTGATAGGTCGGTTAAAATCCATCTCACAATAGCAACAGTTCATTTGAACAATAGTATGGCACAGAATACATACGAAAAAAACTCATCACAAGACAGCCAAGTCCACAATAATGCAACTTCATAGAAAAACCTAAGCTGCAAATAAAAGTCGGTCCTATGAAGAGCGACTGGACGAACTCCAGATGGTCCTCTTGGGAGACCTAACGTCCATAATGGCAGCCTTTACAGTTACTAAAGAGTAGAGCTGGTGTGCGAAGCAGAGACGGACGAAACTCTGAGCTACTGCAGTGGTGGGATGCCCCGGGGATCGCCGTGTGGCTGCAAGGTCATGGGAGGAAGTGCCTTCTGCTCTGGTGCTGCAGCTGCACTCTTCGGATGTCCTGGAGACACCACAAGAAAGTGTCTCAAGTGCAACCACGAGGCTAGCAGCCAAGGACTGCCGCTCCCGACAGCTCACCAACAAAGGGGTGGTAACTGGCTAAATCAACCAGGCACTGCACAGGAGGGTGAAGCAAAGCAAATAAATACCTCTGTGCGAAGGGAGGGGTGCGGAGGAGGCGAGGAAGATGCGTGCACTTCTCCCAACCATGCACTAGAAAAGGAAGACTCACGAGCCAGTAAACCTCAAAGTGCTGAAACGCTGATCAAATGAGATTGTACAACCGGCACCTTGCTTAAGATTAACTTATTTTAGTAATCGATAGCCCATTAATTGCTAAGACAAAGTGATGCCCAACTTGGCATGCCCCTCCCCCCAATCAAGGTATCATGCAAGTCGTCATTGTGCTGCACTTATGTTGCCAGGTAAGGGCTGGTTACAGACAGTGGTTAACGTACATACGATCCACTGGCAAATGGGAATCATGACATTGAGAAAACAGGCCAAGAAAACCCAGCTACCACCTAGTCTGGTAGCCTGTGACCATAACTGGGGTGATGATGAAGACAGCTGCTAGGTGGATGGGGAGAGGCTGCTTACACATCAGACCTCCTCAGGTACAAAGCGAGTTCGTACGCTTTCTGGTTAAGTGTGCCTCCGTGGACACCTTCCTTTCCCATGACTACTACCAATGCTGGAGCACACAAGGAAACAAAACAAAAGTGAACAGAATTATTTAAGGGGGGGCAGAAAGAAAGACACCTTTCCCCACCAACAGAGGGATACAAAGGAGACACAGGTTCACACCCCATCACCCTGCATTGCTAATAAAATTTCCAGAATTAAGACTTAGGCTTACAGCTCGGAAAGTTTAAGGGCAATCTCTCCCTAACACTGAGCGCTCTGCCTGCAGCTAGAACCCAGAGTCTCTTAAGTACTTTGCCATTGAGTACGCCTTCTTATTCAATCCGCCTCCATGGACCCCTTCTTTTCCCATTACAAAGACCAAGACTGAAAGAAAAAGAAGAAAAGTGTTTCAAAAGGAGGGTTAATCAAGAAAGGCACATAAGTTTAGCAGACAGAACCCCGACTAGTACGTTCACATGACGTTACTTTGCCACGAACTGTCGAGCTCTGAAGCGAGCATGGAGACAGGGCTTTGAAACAGTGATACCCCAGGCAAGAGAGACCACCGCTGCGAGTTCTCCACGCCTCTCTACGCTAGCCAGGGAGAGTGACGTCCACCTTCCATCTTAGGGTGGCACAGCCTAGTCGACAGCACACATTCCTATTACTTATCCCAGAAATGCAAGCTTTAAAAATGTGGGTAACTTTTCATTTAAAAATTCTCCTCACATTTAACATGCCAGACAGGTATAGGACGGTACATGTGAGTCCACATGTCTAAACAGCACTTTCCACGCCACTCGGGAAGGCCACATGAAAGGCCCTAAGTCTCATGCAGACCGATGTCCTCCCGAGCGCTCGCTAAGTCTAAGATCCTGAAACGGTTACCATTTCTACCGCCTGCTTTTTCCAGGATGGAATCCAAAGGTCTACGCTCGCATCTGCACAGGTGCATGTCACATTTTATATCACGGCCACTAGATGTCAGCGGTAGCGCGTGGGCTCCTTAGCGTATGTCCCTCTGACAGCAGCTTAGCTCTCTCAGAGGTCCGTCTACCGTGTTGAGTCTACCGTGTTGAGTCGTGTTCCTGTGGGCATTCGTAAACAACTCATACCAGCACAGGTGCAGCCTCTCTTCAACAGGAAGAGGCCTCTAGGACGGCCACCTCGGGGACAGTGGCCTGCAAGACAGTCCTCTGTAGGACAAGTGACTGCTCAGTGCAGCTTCCTGTCCCTCACATGGTGCAGCTGCTCTTAAAATCACATGGCCAGCTCTGCTGAAGTGAGACTTCAGAGCCTTCTTTAAAAATATTTATATAGGTGACACACTTGCATGTATGTGTAAATCAATTACATGTTATAATAAACCCAAACGTCAAGTTTCCTTTAACAAAGTAGAAAGACTTCACTTACTCTGCAGTAAAAATTTCCATTAGGTTGAAACCAAAATTTTGGGGCTAAGTCTGGAGACACTGAAATTTCTGGGCCAAGCATGTAACTGAGATAATCTCCACCTTCAAATAATCATCTCTGACACACTTTGAAAAACTGTTACTCCAAAGCCCTCATCTAACTTCGCTCCCTTCCCTAGCAATGTTTCCAACAGAAAAGGGAACCTATGGTGATTTTTCTTCCTTCTGATCAACACTGAACGATTAAAATCTCACAAGAAAGGAAAAAGACCCCAAAGTAAAGACTCAGCAGGGGTAAAATAAACAAAAGCAAAGGACTGGCACCGTTAGCAATCCTACACCACAGGGCCATCATCTGATGGGACCAGCAGTTTGAGAGGTGGCTTTTCTCATTAAGTTTGCCAGTGATACAAGGCCGCCTGTGGACACTCCTGCAGAGTGGGTAACTAAGGCAGGGCTCCCCCCCAGTGCTAGGCATGTCACAAAAACCACTTAATGGCCACATCGTTCAACTGCGCACCGCGCTGTCACTGGCGTGCAGCTTCCCCGGGAGCCCGCTCACCTCTGCCGGCCCTGCCCACGGCCACGTTGTAGGTGGGCTCTCCGCCTTGGCTCTTGGTGCGGATGTCCATCGTGCAGTCCCCGTCTACGTACAGGCTATCTCTTATCACCGAGCACTTCTTCGCACCGAGAGTCAAACCATTGGTGAAGAAACCTTCCCGGTCTTTTCCTACAATCATATCTATTTCTACTGGCTGTCCCCAGAAAAGAGAAAGAAGAAGTTGTGGTTAATTCCTGCATGGCTGGACGTGGCAGAAAGGTGCTGGGCTCAGGCTAGAGGCGCAGAGCCTCTCTGAACTGAAGGATCACCACTCCTGACCACTGCGCCCTGCCCGCGCGGCCGGCTAAACCAAAACCAGCCCGAAGCAAACACTTGGCAGTGGACGCCACACACACTTGACTTTGTCAGAAGTCCATCAAGTCAAGTGGTGCAGGACGGCCTCAAACTCTCCAGCAGCTCCTGTGACACTCGGTCACAGGGCATCGAGTGCAAAGTCGCCCCAAAGTCTCCAGAAGTGCTCAGCTGTGTCACTTGAAATACCCCTGCCGGTCAGTGTGAATGCCAATCCCTGGACCCCGGCGTGTTTCCAGTCCGTGTCTCCCTCTCCACCTCCCTTCCCCCACCTCAGCCATCAGCCAGCGGGCGGCTGCACGGCAGCACCGCAGCAGGCAGCGGTGACGATCAGAGAAAATGGAGGGAGATGGAAAGAAACTGAGGTAGCCGCCAGCCAGAAAGCAGGCTGCGCCCAATCCAGGGAAGGCGTCGCCCCCATCAGAACTGCAGAGTCATAGCAGGCCCAGCCATTTCCAGCACCCCGGCCTTGGCGGCCAGGCGCGGGGACTGCACACAAAGGCTGCGGGAACCGAGTTCGCGGCCCGCTGCCAAGGCTGCGTGCGCCCCCGTCCCCGCGCCGGCCGGGTCTACGCGGGCGCATCTCGCACCGAGCCCAGCAGTGAAGGGTCCATTAGCACCGGGACGGGGACCTGGGTCTGGGTCCTGATGGGAGGGAGCGGGGGCTAAGGGACAAGGGAACTGGGCAGCCACCGCAAGACAAAAAGCAGCGCTGGAGACCTGGTGACAAACGGTCCCCAGACATGTGGCAGCCAAGTCAAAGCCACCGGCCGCGGTCCCTGCCGCGGGACGCCCGGAGGGGCGACTGTCGCCGTCCTCGCCGGCTCCGAGAGCCCCCGAAGCCGCCCCTCCGCGAGCTGTTGCGTAACTGGGGATGGCGGGGTCCCGAGGAAGCTCCTTCATGGAGAATCAATGGCAGTTCGCCATCTTGGAGAATTAAAAAATCCTATGGAGCCGGGGCCGGGGCCGGGGCCGGGATTCACGAATCCACCTCCGCTGTCCGCGTACGTTTCTCGCCAGCCCGAGGCCGGGACAGCGGCCACCCACGCAAAGCCACCGGCGCCGGCCGCCGCCTCCCGGGCCGGGGTGGGGGTGGAGGGGACACGGGACAGGACCCCAGCCCGCCTCCATTCCGGGCCGAAATCCCGGTACCGGTCCGCTTCCACCCCGGGCCGAGCGAAGCCAACGCGGCTCCCCGGGGCCTGCAGGGGGACACGGGGACAGAACCCCGGCTCAGCCCCCGCTCCTCCCTGGACTTGCAGGGGACAAGGGGACAGAACCCCGGCCCAACTCCGGTACCGGCCCGTTTCCCACCCCCCCCATTCCCGGGGACACGGGGACGGGACCCAGGCCCAGCCCCGGTACCGCCCAGTTCCTTCCCCATACACACTCCCAGGCCCTGCAGGAGACACGGGGACGGGACCCCGGTACCGGTCCATTCCCCGCCCCCCATTCCCGGGGACACGGGGACAGAACCCCGGCCCGTTCCTCCCCCCTCCCATTCCCTGCAGGGGACTCGGGGACGGGACCCCGGCCCAGCCCCGGTTCCGGCCCGTTCCTCCCCCCTCCCATTCCCTGCAGGGGACTCGGGGACCGGACCCCGGCCCAGCCCCGCAGTGCGCGCCCCTCCCCCGGCCCGGGCCGCGATGCGGCGCCGCCCCCGCCCCGCCGGTCAGCGGCCCGGCCGCCCGCGCATCCCCGGCGCCGCCGCGACACCTGCCGGCCCCGCAGCCCGGCCCGGCCCCGCCGGCGCTCACCGTGATGCTCTGGAAGACGCCCCCGGCCGTGGCCGCCCAGACGTATTTGGCGTCGCAGTAGCCGACAATGGCGGCCTCCTGGCAGCAGCCGTCGCACATGAGGTTGTCCACGTAGCTCTGCCAGCCGGCCATCTTCGCCCCTTCGCACTGCAGCGCGGACGGCGGCAGCAGCAGCAGCGCGGCGGCGGCGCGGGGCGGCGCGGGGCGGCGCGGGGCGGGGCGGGGCGGGGGCGGGGAGGAGGCGGCTCTGCGCAGGACCGACCGCCCCCCGCCCGCGGGCTGCGCCGGGGACGCGGCCGCCGGGGGACGCGCCTGCCACCGCCCGGCGCAGCGCGGGGCCCCCTCGCGGCCGAGGGCGCGGGAGGCGCGGCCGGGAGGGCAGACGGACCCGCGGCCGGAGGACGGACGGACGGGCGGCGCGGGCAGGGCGGCTCCGGGCTCCCCGCGCGCCCCCGGCGGCCGTGCGCGCGCGCGTGCGTGCGATCCCTCCGCGGCGCGAGGGTCCCGGAGGGGGGCGCGGAGGGATCCGGCCGGCGGCGCCGCCACGTGCGGCGCGGGGACCCGGGGCCGCCGGCTCGGGTTGCACGGTTGCCGTGGAGACGGGATGCGCAGCGCCCTGGCCTCTTTGTGGTGGGAGCGGCCGCGCAGCCAACCCCAGCGCCACCCGGTCCCCGACCTGGAAGCCCGGCCTGAAATCACTGCAGGCGACCGGGGCCTCAGGAAAGGCGCTGGGCTCGGCAGACCTGTCATTGTCGCCACTCGGGTACCAGCGGCCTGGCATCCTGAAGATTCTGTGCCCGGCAGAGCCCCCCAGTGTGTGTGGCTGCATTGCTGGTAAATTGCGAACAAAACAGCGTGTGGAGCGCTGGTACCCGGGAAAGTGACCGATGTGTCACACGCCGCCGACAGCACAAAGGATAGAGCTGGGGGCCAGGGCGGCTGGAGCGACACAGTCGCATTTGTCTTCTGCAGGGGGAAAGCACACTCAGGACGCAGATGTGGCGAAGGCGTGAGGTCCTCGGGATCCTCTAGGCGCTGGGATTAGACTTGGAATTAGTTGGCAGCCCACAGTGGCTTCAATTTTAAGTTCAAAAGGACCTGCCAGTGAAGGGAAAGAAAGTGACAAAACGTTGAAAAGTTGATGCTCTAAAGTTGTCATGGAGGGTCACATTTTGAGGAGAATTATAAAGACATTGCTAAACCTCCTGGCTGGTTCTGAGCTTGCGTGTTTCCTGCTGTTGCTGTAAAACGCTGGGCCAGGCAGGGAGAAAAGCAGTGCAGGAGGCGACCAGGGCCACCAGGAGTACATTGATACAATGTATTCCTCACGTTCCAAAGTGACACAGAAGTGCCACAGAGCGCCTGCCCACACAATGGGAGCCAGGACTGGTTGGTTGCTGTAAGGGTGCCTCCCTCCTGAGTTCACTGCACTCACTCGTCATCTCTACAGCTCTGACTTGTCCCCTTCTGGTCACCTTAAATCTTCAAAGTCAGCGGTGGCTACCGTGCTGGTAACTCGGGCGTGCTCACTGGGTGAGAATTCTTCACGTGCGTCCTTAGGATCTGTGCTCTTCCTTTATATGTGTAACCATCCAAAAACTCAGGCATGGAAGAAGAAAATGTAGAAAAGAAAAAGCAGTAACTCAAATTGAAATTGAGTTTAAGTTGCGGCTCCGAGTTTCTCAGGTTTTATTTCTACACTCTGTCTTGTTGGAGCACAGGGCTGAAAATATCTGCACCCCACTCTCTTATTCTGTGTTCTTTTACTGCTGGCTTTAAACAAGGAAAGGATTACCAGAACTGAACATTTTGGAAGTTCGAATCTCAAAGATTCTGAAACACATCCATTGAGGAAAAAGGTTCCTAGGACTTTAGACTTCCTGTCAATTTCTCATATTTTGAAAACATAACTGCATTTTGATGAGTTTTACTTTTCCAACATGGTATTATTTTTTGCAGAATTGCATACAGCAAAACTGAAATAACTGTGAGACATACTGAGTGTGTTAGAGGAACTGAGCTCCTCGAGTTAGACTTCTGGGTTACGCATTCGGAAGGTCCCTTACTGTGTTTAGTACTAGAGTAAAGGCATCCTATCTTATTTTCTCTAGACCTGGCTTGGTAGCAGTTTTCATTTGTATACAATGTTCTCTTCCTGGCTCGTCCAACTTACCACACATTTCAACAAGTGCCTGTAGGGCTCGAATAGGAGTTTTGGGTATAACAATATAGGTTCGGTCCAAAGGAGTTCTGAGATGAGACAAAGAATTCTCAACTTGGGTCTTTAAGTTGTGGCTGTGGTGGGTGGAGATATCCAGGAGAGGGCTGTTGGCAGTCAGCAGCATATTTGAGTTGGAATGGGTTACTGTGTGTTCTTTCCAAACGTTTTCATTCGTACTGAGTAACCAACTGTGTGGCTAACCACAATGTATAACTCAAGTAGTGTCACATAAATCACGTGACATTTTAGCAAGAAGTTAGCGTGTACTCAACTTGATAAATAGAGACTAAAGCTATACAGATAATTACCCAATTATAAAACCATTATTAATTCAGCCTACCCAAACCCTGTGTTATCTGCAGTCTTCACACCATACTTCATTTGTTGGAACAAACGAATATCAAGTAGGACTCTTTATTTTTCTTTTTCTTTGGTGGTACTGGGGTTTGAACTCAGGGCCTTGCACTTGCTAGGCAGGTGCTCTACCACTTGAGTCACTCTACCAGCCCACAGATGAACATCAGGAAAATTTAGAAAACAAGAGAAAATCACCCACGGCCCCAAAGTTAATACAAATGTCATCATTTGAATGTATGCACTTCTTGATTTATTTAAGATTTTTACAGTAAAGAAAAGGAATTTCTATAATTCTGGATTTACCCATTTATCCTGAGATCTATGAATTTTTGCTTGTTATACTTTGAGGCTAAGTAGAAAAATAGAAATATGCCTGGTGCTTGTGGCTCACACCTGTAATCCTAGCTATTTAGGAGGCTGAGATTGGGAAGATCATTGTTCGGGCCCAGCCTGCACAAATAGTTCCGGAGACCCCCCATGCCCAAAATAAACAGAGCAAAATGGACTGGAGGTGTGGCTCAAGTGGTAGAGAGCCTGCTTTGCAAGTGCAAAGCCCTGAGTTCAAACCCCAGTCTCACCAAAAAAAGAAAGAAAAAATAGAAATAAACTTTTATTTTGCTACATTCTCAATGTGCTGTATTCTAAACTGTGTTTTCCTTCCGATGAATTCAGCTTTTATTGTTGAGTTTCCCTCTTTATAGAACTTTTTATCTTAAAATCTATTTTATCAAACATTAAAGCAGCTTTTCTCTCCCCAAACTTTTCAGCCTCACTCCTTACATTTTAGCTGTATCATAAACTTCATGTAGCACTGTGTCCTTCAATTGGCAAGTTTATTCCATTTACATTCATTATAATTATTGACATACATTTGGAATTGTTTTAACAAATTTTATTAATCTCATTTTTTCTCCTTTTTCCAATTTCAAAACAACAGTTCTGGGGAGGGAGGTATCTTTTATTCTTCCAAATACTTCTAATCAACTTGGATTTGGATGCTTAATTCCTGCTCATTTACCATTCCTTTGAAACTTTTAACCTTGCGTTTTTAATACAACAAAGGTTAAACTAAGTAATGTCTTCTCTCTCCCTCCAGGTGTCCCAAGAACCCTAGGAAACTTTAAATCTTGTCAGGCTCTTCAGACGTTTTCCCACAGCTATCTGTTTATATGTACATCTACAAATGTGTTTGCTGGGGTCTGTTTGTTTGGGTACCAGAATTTGAACTCAGGGCCTACACCTTGAACCACTCCACCCCCATTTTTTTTTTTTTGTGATGTATTTTTTGAGATAGGATCCCTCAAACTGTGTCCCTGGGCTGGTTTCAAATCCCCTGATCTCTCCCTCCTGAGCAGCTGGGATTACAGGCATGAGCCACTGATGCCCGGCTACATTTGCTATTTTATTGACTTACCATTCCGTGTCAGCTCTCAGAGCCTCATTCTATGATCACTTTCCTCCTTTAGGAGTTACTAGAATGGAGGTCCCTGGTGCTAAATTCTCCAGTTTTATCTGAAAATGTCCTTATCTCATGTTCATTCCTGAAAAAGAGCTGTGTCTGCGATGCACAACTGAGTCCTTGGCAATGGCTGTGTCCTCCTGCAATCTGTGTCCACTCTCCTTCATGGTGAGCTTTTTCTCTGTTTTGGAATCGTTTACTCTTGGCACTTTTGCAGTCTCACTGCAGTGCGTCTTCCATTGGGATTCTATTTTATTTGGACAGCACACTGGTATCTAAATCCTGTCACTTTCTTTCCTCAGCTCCCTCTTCCCTCTTCTACGAGGTTCAGAATAGATGCGTCTTCCATCCTCCCTGTCTCTCAGCTTGCTGGTTTCCCAGCTTCTTCCTCTCTGTGCTGCATTCTGGATAATTTCTTCAGCTCCGTGTCCAGTTCGCTCTTCAACTGTTTCATCTGTTAAACTCCAATACTGACTTTTTTAGTCTCAAAATTTATTTTTCACTTCGGAAGTTCTGTTTTCTTGTGACCCTTTCTGGTTATTCCTGACAGTCTCTTACTGCTTGCTGGCAGGTTTTTGTGGTTCCAGACTCATTTCTTGCACTATTTGTTACCTACTTATTGTGTAATTTGTATCTGTCTGACAGTTCTAATATCTGAGTGACTTGCATGTTGTTTGAGGTCTTTTTCGCTCCTGGTGGCTTGCCTCTTTGCATACTTGGTGATCTCAAGTTGTGATTTGTACTTCTTGGGTCTTAATATGTGGAAGTCCTTGTGGTCTGGCTTGAGGACATTTTTCTTCAAAAGCAATGTGTATCTGCTTCTCCCTGCCCAGGGATGCTGACCACCTGGGGCTACTTTAACCCTGTGTGTGGTGCCCTGTGACCATAGAGGTTCCTGGTCAGCTCCTCCCAGAGCGGCGGCCAGCACAGACACTCGTACTGTCCCCTGTTTGCATGCTTACTGCCACTCTAGCTTCTGTTCAAGATGTCCTTCTCTTTATTTGGGGGAAAGATGAGGCTTTGAAGATTTTTCTGATTTCTGTATGAGGGTTGCAGTTGTAACCAATGCTTGACGTCATGTGTCTTTGCTGGGTGTACAATGCATTTCATTACGGCTTTAACCCATGTGTTCCCAGGGATGAAGGTGGTACCTCTGTCACTTGGACATTTTTAGGAAGTGCTTGTGACACTCCTTTGCCCTGTGTGTGTCATTTCTGTTGGCTGTGCAACAGTCCATTGAATGTGGAGTTATTCTTTCTTGTTGAAATTCTAGGTGAGAATAATGAAAAGAACACTT